CCCCTCCCCCGCCCAACTAAGTTAGCACCACAAAACTTTTTGAAGTTCCACATATTGAACTCACCGTTAGCTCATGGCTTTCCATCCTGCCCTCGATTGCTGACGAATACCGCTCCCCTGGTTACGGTACCTTCCACTGTAGCTGCCGCGCACGCGACGCCGCCATCACCGCGCAGCCGCAGTGTGACCTACCTTACCCTTACCTTACCTGCCAAAGTCACCACTAGGGTATGCCGTTCGCACCAGTAAAGTTCAACAAATCGGCCTCTCTCTTCGTATTCATTCAGCTCACATTGGGTTCATGTGCCTGAGAAACCCTTCAAAGATCGATTCGCCCAGTATGTCGCTGATCCGAAAAGCATTCAAATACTGTTGCTGTTTCGAGTGAAAATCGAGTGCGTGGCGTATCTCCCGACTGCGCGAGGGCCCCTTTATTCTATGTGCTTCCTTACATTTGTTTTGGAGGAGTGCTTCAGATATTTTTACATCATGCGACCTTTAGTTGACCCCAAAGCCAATTGTTTTGCACTTAGGCACGTTCCACAGGGTTTTTTTAGTCGCTGCTATGACTCAACATTTCTACTGAGAATCTGATCGTGGGCTATTTCTGTAAATATCGTTATCATCCGTCCGTTTAGTCATCATTTACGTGCCAATTTGTTCTCTGCACCCCTTTTTATCTTTGCACTCAAATAGCTGCTTTCATAAGCGCTTAAGGGCACAATTAACCATGTGCTGGGCAATGCGTTCCTAATTTCGTCTTTATGCTTGCTCCGTAAATTGTCGGACAAAATATGCCAAAATGCGTCAAAAATGAGAGCTTGCATTCACATGGGCGTGAAATTCGATAACCGTGTTTGCATAGGAAATCCGTTGACAAGCCTCGCCTGTTTGGTAGAATCAACGAAAGATGGGAAGTCTCCCGGGACAGCTGAACATTGGTTCCATGCATCGGGAATTGGGAGGGGGCAGTTTTGGCATAGTATAACAAAATCGGTTTCTAAACAAATGGACCACTAAGGAGCCTCACGGGTTTCCCTCGCAGTCCCCTTGAACTAGAGAATTCTTCCTACAATGCCAGTTTGGTCTCTCCCCACATAGGTAAAAAAGTAACCCTAATGTTTCTGAAAGTCTGAAATACGGCGTTCTGCTGGCGCCGTTCCAACGACCGCGCGAACCCATCCAGTGGCTCAATGGGGGCAAGGCTTTACTTCACTTTAAGGTACCTTCAGTACTTTCCTCTCTCTAGATGTCTTTGAGAGGGCTGAGGACCATAAAACCGCCGAATGGCGTTAGAATATGGAAGGAAAAAGCTTACCCAATAGCGCCTTCGAAGACGCTTTAGGTTACCCTGATGTCAAAGCTCAATGACGATTTCTGAGAAGGGCACTCGCGTTCAAACAAAGTGACAGGCCAAAATCTGGCAAAAGTTCAACCCGGCCAAGTATTTTTCGTTATCGGGCTGGCCATCGTTCGCTGAGGCCTTTGCTCATCCGACGGCGATTGTGTTGGATATTTGTGTTTTTGTTTGTTCATATTGCGCGATTGCACGGAATGACGTCAAAATTGACGCCTTTTGTTGCAGCCGAGCGTTTTCAATCATCGCGCTCCCAACGGGGTAGTTTTTTAGTCGCAGCGCGCGTTGACTGCTTTTGAGAACTGCCATCGGAAGATAAGGAATGGGAACGATGAGTGTGAGAAGAGGAGCACATTGCGCAGTGACGCCACTAGTCACTCACTGCTGGCCAGGGCTTGGCAGAGACTCTGGCAGGCATGTTGCGAATGTTGCGCCATGTCAGCTTGCTGTCAGATGAAATTGAGGAGCAGCAAGCTGGGAGTAACAATTGAGATGGGTCGGGGTGCTCCAGAGCTTCCGAGGCCACCGATCTCTTTTCGACCCTATTCAGGCTTTGCTAAGTGGGCTGACGCTACTGGGTACGCCCATGCAACTTCCCGCACTTGACCTTCGTGGTCGTGCAGTGATTGGGGTGTGTCCTCGATTTAAATGACGCTGGAGTGAGCACTTTACGCAGGCGTGGTCTCATTATTCATTCAGGGTCTCGAGGAGCTGCCGTCATGTCCACACGGAGTGGACTTCTTACGTAGAATTTACCGCACGGCCGATGCGCCTCGAATTACAAAATCTACACTACAGAATGGGGAAAAATAATTTCACGAGGGCATAACAAAATTTAAATACAAAAATATAAATGTATTTTAAAATATTATCAAACAATGTCTGGCATTCCATTCTTACGCTGGGAGTGGGGGCAGGACGGTGCAAGAGTGCACTGAGAATGCGCGCCCACGACCGCACGATGGGTCATGAACCGGTCCACTATGGGTCGGGCCAATCTTTCCCTGGGTGAGCGCTCCGTCGCTTCAACGTGAGTAGATTGGTGTCGCACTCATCTGGAAGGACAGAAACACTGACTCGTACAGCCACTGGCTACCGTAAGCTATTGCCTACCGAATCGCATTAAGTCGTCAGATTCAGAGTGGATTGTGAATGCGTGGCGCATCCCAGAAAGGGCTAATCATCGCGGATTTCCTTCACTCCTAAGGCAATAAAAAGAAAGCTGTCTTAGTGTTGGTAGCAGCAACTCAACCATGGTGTCTTGTGCAGGTCGGCTTCGCACTGCGCGTGCTAAGCTTGCCTGTGATTGGTCGATCGTCCCTAACGACCAATCACAGGCGTTCCATACCCGAATACTGACGGCTAGCAATTTTCTCTAACTAATTTGTCATTTCAGCTCACTCCGCGAAAGAATTTCGACGGCAGTACACTGTGCTCGAGGAGATCGGCCGTGGCGGTTTCGGTATCGTCTATCGAGCTGTCCGAATCGCTGACGGTCTGCCAGTGGCTGTGAAATTCGTCGAACACAAACACGTTCGCGAATGGACCTTGGTAATTGATCGATATTGATTTATCGACAAACATCAACAATCCGAATGTTTGCATTTCAGACAGGCAACCAATTGATACCCTCGGAAGTATGTCATCTGGAAACGTGCAGTGATGTGCCGGGTGTAATTCAACTGATCGATTGGTTTGCCAAGTGAGTTTTATTGATTTGATTCTATCGAAAATCGATCGAGATCACAGTTTCTGGCTTGTTTCGTCTTGTTATCAGTAATCAGTCGTTATCACTATAAGCGTAAGATTTCAGCTCGAAAGGCTTTCTGATAGTTATGGAGCGACCAGAGAACTGCATGGATATCTTCGACCTGATCTCGACATATGGGAAACTTGACGAAGGTAAAATATCTTATTTCACTCGTATCAATTTACTTTACATACCCTTACGATAGAATGTTAATCAGAGTAATCTGATCACTACAAATCCTTTATTTGTTGTACGACTGCTGGGCTAAGAATTCGGAATGAGGGCTTTTTTGCCGGTTCAATAAAAGTAAATTGAAAATTAAAAATTGAAAAAATTAGTTCGAATTAAAGGGAGAATAGAAAGTTTAAATTGAATTGAATTAAATTAAAATTTATTAGGCCTAGTTAAATGAGTAGTTAGATTAGTTTTGCACGCATTTTTTCACCTGATTTCATTCCTTTCGAATTTAAAGGCATATTCCACTCTTGACTGGAACCGTTTCGTGTATCAGATATCTGGAGTAAATCGCAACCCGACAAAAAAAGGTCACAT